TTCATTCATACCCACTGTAGATACCTCTTAAAAAAAAATCTACAGTCTGTGTTTCATAGGCATAACTTGTATGGAAAACAAATTTTACTTTTTTTTTTTTCTTTGTAATGGAACCTTCTTTATATACAGGAGGAAAAAAAAGTAAATTAACTTTCTACCTTCTACATTCTTTTATCTTGTCTTTTCTCTGCAGACCTGGAAGAGTCTTTATATCAAATTTCAGCGAGATTTACTTCCCAATGAGAATTCTGTAATTATAGGTGGAAGAAGACTCAATTGGGCATTACACAGCAATATTCACTAAGTGATGAGGACACAAGAGGTTTTTAGACATTCATGGGCTTTGCTTTCACAGTTTCTCTTGTTTTGGTGTTGGTTTTTTGAGTTTAATTTTCAGACTTCAAGGCTTTCTCAGAGACATTGCTGCTTGGACTAAGCTTTCTCCATGAGTCACAGTTCCTTGGAAGTCAGTCTCCTTGATTCAGCTTCTGTTTCCTATGATAAAGTGTTCATTGGCTTATTCTCTCTCCAGTGTTAAGAATGAAGAATCCTGATGTTGCTGCAGTTATAGTGCACACACATACCTAAGGAGAAGGTATGTCAATCAGCTTTACAGTTCTTAGGGTGGTGGAGCTGAAAAAACTTGGCAGCATGTGCTCCCTTGGGAGCTCAGTGTATGTGTGTATTGAGATCTGTGCCCCCAGATCTGAATGCTGCACTGCCCCGTAATTTTGGCCGAGTTTGTGTCAGTCCCATTTCTGTTACCTACTGACCTCTGCACAAGTAGCGATTTTTGGAAAATAGTTTTATTGAAGTGGAAATGCAGATGTTGATCAGTATTTGTAGTCCTGTAGCTGAGAACTGATGGTCTGTTGTTTGTCCCACAATTAGAGGAAATCATTGAATGAATTGTGATGTGCAGACCTGGTTGAGAAGCCTAGTCCTGGAAGCAGAAGGAGTTACCAGAGGTTAGGAGAAGGAAAACTGAGTCACAGAGAGGAACTCTGACGTTCTTCTGTAGTCTTTGGATAAGTATAAAGGTGCCTTTGTCTCCTTTGCTGAAACTGCCATTTGCTGTGGAATCAGAATTTTAGTCTCACAGATTATGCAGGTGTTAGCACTCTGAGGTTGTGAGGTCTGCTGTGGAACATCACAGACTCCCAATTTCCTTCAGTACCAGCTTTCAAAGGTGCCTTCAGTACCACGGTCAAAGGTGAGTGTTCTTGGTGGAAAATTTGAAGTTAGTTGGGAGCTGTTCTTGGGGTTCATTTCACATTTGAACAACTCTGGCTTCTGGTGTGAGTGCCACTGGAAATCTGACTGCTTCGACTGTGCGGGACTTCTCTGCATCAGAAACATCTGATTTTAATGTGGTATTTTAATTCCTTTTTTTTTCTTATATAGCAATTTAAAATTTAGAAAGTTAATGGGGAACTCAATATATTGCAGTATAATGAGGGATTTGATTTTCTTTTTTGTTCAAAAATCATGCATTTAATATGATTATTCCCAATTTTTAATGCCAAACTTAGGAAGTTACTAGCTGGAATAAAAGCATGCTACTGTGCTACAAGTAGGGATTTTTTAACAGTAGTAGTGGTCTCTCAGCTGAATTGGTCACGCATCTGGATGCCAATGGGAAATCTTAAACTTTGGGTTAGATAGCTTCAAGAGCTTCTTTCTGTCCTAGCGTTTCTGTGACTGCTATGGAAGGAGCCTGGAAGGGTGTGGTTTGAGTCATTATATAGAGGTTATACCATGTTTGAGAAAACAATTTTGTGGAGGGAAAAAAGCTCCATATTTTTATAACCTCTGTGTCATGTCCAGTAGGTCAGGGCAGTTGTTCAGTTACTCAGATTCATAATTTTATAATGGGATACACATGAATATAATAGCATGTGTGTTTCATATTTAATAGGGAATTTTTTCTATTTACTGTTTTTAAATACTCTTGGAACAAAATTTTAATATTCTGTGTCTTAAAAGCACTTAACTGTTAAAAATTTCATATAATTTTATGCTAAACCAAATGACATCTACTCAGTGGTCTCACAGTTGCATCTGGAATTTAGCATTCAGTGTGGGGCCCCATTACAAGTGAGGGACTAGCAAACTGCAGTGAGTCCAGTTAAGGCCACTGATATGGTTAGGGATGAGAACAGGTCAGAAGAGGCTGAGGGAAATGGGTTTGTGTCTTTTTGAGAAGAAAGGACTGAGGGGTATTGAATTGCAGTCTTCTGCTTCCCAAGGTTGGAAATAAGATGGAGCCAGGCTTTTTTCAGAGGTGCACAGCAGGAGAATGAGAGGCAATGGCTGCAAGCTGCTGCAAGGGTAATTCCAGTTGGGCATATGGGAAAAACTCTTCCTGGAGTGGCTCATTAAGCACAGGAGCAGGATGCTCTGGGAGGTGGTGAAACCTCCACCTTCATGGGGTTTCATAACTTGGAGGGACAAAGGCCCTGAGCAATCTCATTTAATCTTGAAAACACCTGTCTTTAGTTTATGAGGGAACATTCAGAAGTCCCTTTTAGGTTAATTTGAGCTGTTATTTCCATGATTATTGTCTGAATGCACCTGTACAGCTGTGTGCTGTGTAACTCTGTTAGCAGCAGAATCAGTGGGTAAAACCACATGAGCTACGAATGCCAATGTACCATATGCTGCTAGTCAAATTAAATCATCTGCCTTAATCTTGATTTAAACATCTTTAACTTGAGTTAGTTCCCCTGCCTCTCGATAGAAGAGTGAAGATCTTCTCTTTAAAATATGCTGCTATTAGAGATTCTTCATAAATGTGCTGTCTGCTACATAAAATGAGAATTATTTTATTTTTGTGGAGGGTATTAATGGAATGTATAATACACAAGCGCTCTTTGCTGCTGCAGGGCTTTTTGTAGCAGCTAAAAAGTAGAGAAAAATATGTGGAACTTCAAGATGAATTAATGCAATGTATAAATCAACCCCTGAGGCATTCTTAAGTGACAGTGTATCTTTCTTCTTGTGAATAACTGCACTGTTCAGATAGGAGCAAGCAGGTCAGTGGCTAGTACTCTAACACTGGGTCTGTGTCCTTCCTTGACACAATTCTTGTGTAATTCGAAGCATGCAACTGTGAACTAGATCAAAATGGAAATAAAGCTCTATAGCTCAGCTCTGTCTTGTTAATATTTGCTTGTGAGGAAGAAATTGATTTAAAAAATGATTGTTGAAGTTAACTTTCATAGACGCTTGAAAACTTGTATCATATGTTTAAATAAAAAAAAAATACATCCTCAAAGCCTTTTAGCTACTCTCTTAAAGATGCATTTGGAAAAGGTGCTGAGACTCACTTTCAGAGATTTCCTGGTTATTATATGTTTCACACTTGAAAATCTATGCTCCAGTCATGATGCAGCTTTAAGAGAATAAAGGGAAAACCTTTTCTTTAAACCATAACTATTGCTCGTTTTGGCTGACAGTTTTGGTGTGGCAAGATGCATTCCAGACATTTGTAAGCAGGAACACGCCTTGGAGCTCTGCAGATAGAAATTATAGAGAGGCTTTAGAAGGGACACTGTATAGTGAAAGCATGTAATGTAATTTTTTCTGTGTTGTAGATAGATGTTGCATATGTGGGTGAATCCTTTTGGAGCCTTAGCTCTGAAACTACTTGGTTTTATCTAAGACTGGATTAAGAATTACCAAATCTTAAGACAGTTTAAAAGGCAATTTTGTTTGCTTAGTTAATACAAGTTGTAATGAATTGTCTCATAACAATAGGATCTTGCTCTACCAGATTTGTTACCCTTCCTCATACATCTGTCCTGATGATTTGCCCTTGCATACCTAGTGTTAGGGAGGCAAATTTTGTGGTACCTCCTAGGGCTGGGTCCTTTTTTTGAAGCATTTTGTTCCATTCACTGCCACTTCTTCTGTAAGTGACAATTCATTTGGCCTCTGTATCCTGATCCATTTAGTCTATTATTACTCCATTTTACCTTGAATTTTACTGTCTCCTTCAACTTACTCTTTTCATACTTGGGCTGAGGAGACTTTGCAAGGGCTTGAGCTGTTTGTGTGCCATTGCTGCTACCTTCTTCAGGTTAATATCTATGGGCTACTCGAGAGTAGGACATAAAATTCAGCATTAACTCTTCCACTGTCCTGTGGGGCTTTTGGAAACTTACTTTTCCTCCTCAGCCTTGTTCTGAAATCTGTCTTTTTGACATGTCTTTTGAGTTAGAGTGAAAATGGTTTTGGGGCAGAGTATATACATTGCTTAGCACAAGAGGTTTTCCTTCTAGATGATACTAGAATGTCACTATTAAGTAGTGTTATGGGGAGGGAATGAAAATGTCATGGGTTCTCTCCCAGTGTGTATTCAGGACCAAAGTATGGGAACGCTTTGTGAGGTTATTCTTTTCCTTAAAACATGAGATCAATGGCATTTGAGAAGAGAGGAGGAAAGAGAAGGTGCTCGGGAATCTGCTTGCTGGTACTTCATTCTTCTCAGGAAAGGTGAAAGTAAAGGGGCTCAAGCAGAACTTTTTAAGATTGGAAAAAAAAAAAAAGAAGAAGGAAGTGGTGTACAAAGTGCATAATTAAAACTTATTTCTGATTGCCAGGTGGAGAAAAGCATCATCAAAACTGAGGAGCTTTCTAGAATTTTTATCCTTGTCCCCTTCATGAAGATTTTGAAACAGAATATGTGCTCCAACACTGAAATAACATGTTTTAGTAATCTGCTTGTGATTGTCACAATGGGAGCTGCAGAGTACCAAATAGTTTAAAAACTTCATCTTTCTTCAGCTGGCTTACTGAGGTCATTAAAGGAATTGGCTCCAATTCTGAGGGCTGTATACATAAAAATTTGGACTGGATTCATATTGAAGAAGCCAGGCACATTTCCTCTCTTCCATAATGGTATTAGCTAATAAGTATGAGCTTAGCCAAATTGAAAAGGAGTGTCTCAGTATTTGGAAATTATGTTCATCTACAAAACATGTTCCCTTCATTTTTGCAGGGTTTTACAGTCCACTAAAGTTGCGGTGGATACATTAGGATGGACACAGAGGATTTCCCTCCCCCACCACCAGAAGGTAATGGAAATAGTTTGGAGTTTAAATCCAATTTTGTTGTAACAATTTTATTATCTTTCCAAAACTGTTTTTCCTTCTCCAACACTCCCTTTCCCCATATCACCCCAAGGCTTGGTCCCAGTGGTATTCCACTGAAATATGAACTCCTGTCATCTACCCAGTCTTGTTCTTGAACTTTGCTTGCTGGTGTAGTTAGAGCATGATGGGAAGAAAGCTGGGGAGTAATTGGTTCTTGCAGTCCAAATCTGCAAATATGTGTTTTCTAAAACAAATCTGTGCAGTCAGAGCACAGAGGGTTACAGAAGAGTGTTTTGGATGCTGGACTACGGGGCTCATTGTGTAAAGTTAACACCCAGTGCCTGTGTGCTGGCAGCTGAGTGGCCACTGCTGTAGCCCAGGTTTCTGAGGGCACAAAGGTAGGATCTACAAAGACACCATGTCATTGCCTTCTGTGTTTATGCTCTAAGAGAACATTACATGCAGCTGTTTTTTTGTCCTGTTTGATTTCCTGTAAGCACACCATCGCGTAGTGCTTGTTATTACGTATTTTAATTCTTAATAGGATTTGGCTTTTGGTAGTTGGATGCTTCATAAAAGTATCATGTGTTTGTTCTGATCGTCCCAAAGCACCAGTTTACGGCAACGTGGACTATGGAGACCTGTCATTGAACTCGGTACAGCTGCTTTTATTTTGGTAAAGTTGCAAGTATAGTTTGTATAGATAGTGATTTTTCCATAAAGTTTTCATCTGTTCCTTATATAGGACAACATTACTTATGGACTTGTACTCTATTATATACATTGATATATGTATATGTTAATATATGTATAAATAATATACATTATTGCTTATAGGAAATTTCAGTTATTGTTCACACAGAACTCAGATGAAGCCATTTAAGTATGAAAGAGGATTTAATCTTAGTTTTGTTCAGCTGTAACTCTTTAGGAATTTGGGAATTGCCATCCTAGATCTTTTGCTTGCTCTACATCTTAGACACTGTTGCAGACAGAGGTCTGTTACTAGGTGCTAACTAGGGAATTGGGAATGTGAAAGAAGCAGAAACTTGTGAAATCAGCTTTTAATGGGTTAGACTACTGGCCAGCATTATGGGCAGTTTCATTAATGCTTTGAGATGTTGCTGAGGTTATTGTTGGCAAAACCACTTTTGGCTGTCCTTGTCCTAATCAGTGTGGTCAGGACCCTGAATTTAGCTCAGTTTTGTTTAGTGACAGTTACTGTGAAACTCCCTTTACTGGATAATCCATCTCCAAATCAATGCAGTGCTGTGAGGGAAGAGTCATCCCTAAGGAATCAATATTTCCACTTGAGCAGGGGCTGCTGTTTTTCAAAGAGAGCCAGTAATTAGGGAAACAGCTCCAGCTTTGTGCAGCATGTCAGTTTGTGGGATACTCTGACAAGATTTCAGGGTAATGTAGTTCAGCATGATTCCAGAATTCAGAATTTAATATAAATTGAGATTCTGCTCTACCTGATCTTGTGTCAATTGATGCTTTTTTTTTCTTTTTTTTTCTTTTTTTTTTTTTTGGCAACAAACTCCCCAGGGGGCAACATCAAGCCTGACAGAGTTCAGGAAGCATTTGGTCAACATTCTCAGGCACATGGTGTGATTCTTGGGGCTGTCCTGTGCAGGGCCATGGGTCAAACTTTGATGATCCTTGTGGGTCCCTTCCAAAGCATAATATTCTGTGATATTCCTCTCCTCTCATCTCAAAATTCTTGATTGGAAACTAATGGAACTTGTATATTCTTTTACTTCACCATTGCTAATTCTCTTAAAAAAGCATATATAAGGATTATCAGTGAAGATAAATTTTAATTACACTAAAATACACTTTAGTTCACTTTCTAGATAATTCTTGTGACCTATTTTGCAAGTGGAACAGAAGTGAGGATTTTAGGGTCAAGTACAACTGCAAATACATATAACAACCAGAGGAAGGAAACATACAGTATTTTTTGTAATAATTGGGGGGTTATTTTGGATGCATATACACTGGCCCACCCATGGCCTGTTGAAGGGGTGAGCAGAACCTGTCACTGCCTTCAGATGGTGGGCATATTGGGTAGGTTATTGTAACTTGTAGTGAGGAGGAGGCTGGGTGCAGAACCCTTTGCTACATCATAAAAAAAATATTTTTAGCATGTGCATAATGGTTATAAAATCCTACGCCCTTGACACAGATGAAATCAATTGCTTTTATTTTTTTAAAAAAAGTTCTTATGACATTATGGAAATTTTTTCCTTTACCTATTTGTTGTTCTAACAGAGACAGCTGTAGTGCTGAAAGTCATGTGGGTGCCTTTCCATTTACAAGTGTATACCATGCACTACAAATCTCAATTTTATTCTTGTCAAGTAGGTTTTCTATGGTTTTGACAAGTAAATTCCACGAGTTTATTTGTATCAATCCTAATGTATACAAAGGGGAAAAATAATAGTAAACTTTTATCTTTTTCGTGGGGATGTTGTGAGAATGTATATGAAAGCAACGTGACTATTTAAAATTAAATTAATGTCTTTTCGTTAGCCACAACCATCTGAATCTATACCTTGTTTAAGGTAAGATACAGCCAAGGTCAGTAGTGGAGTTGCGTCTGCCCCTACTTGATAAGGAAAAACTACATGCTATAAAAGAATGGAATATAATGTATTTATTTAGTTTATTATGCTTATGTAACGTAGCTGTTCACTGGTGTTTGGACATTCCATTCATGCATTGCTAATTAGGCAGTGGCAAGTCTGTGCTAGCTAATTTCCCTACTTCCGAGCAAATTCAAGTACTGAGTAACTTGGAAAAATTACTGCCTGTGTTTCTGTTCTCTAGACTGCTTTAAAAGAGTTTCTTCTTCTAGTCATTATTAAAAATTTCCGAGTATTTTTCTCTGTATATGTTGAGTGAAGGTATTTGTTAGCAACCAGGGAGCAGTTGGAGTGGGATAGATGCAAAGGCTTCTTTGGGTAAGAGCAAAATCCAAAGAAATACTTCCAAAATGGACACTTGAGATAATAGGGTTAGCTTGTGTTCCCTTCTTTAGTGTGTCTCTGCATATGAATTTATGTGTGAAGTGTAAGTATCTAAGATTTCATACATGAAAGATTTCCATGGGTATTTTGTGAGATAAAATAGAGGATGATTCTTGTTCTGTCAAAAAAAAAAAATCCTTTTTCAAAAAGCTAAATGGAAAAAGCAAATTTAATCATGGCTGTAAGTTATAATTATGCTTTTAATTGGTTGCTGTAATGGAGTGTCCTTAACCAAGCCCGTTTAGACAAGAAAAGGGTACACTGCAGACTGTGTGGGAAGGAGTTACGAAGCTGGTAGTTCCGAGAATCGGGAATCACACCATGTCTTTCTTGTAGAGGACTTAACTTCACACTGACCAGGTAGGACTGGAGATTGAATGTTTAATGCTAGGGTGGTGTTTATGTATGATAGCCTGTGCTTGTGCTATTACTACTTTATTAGGAGATGTCGTCTCTGGCTGTTTTTCATTCCTCTACTTGGAAAACATCTGGTGATCTTTCAAAGTGGAAGTCCTTCTCTTTAAATGAGGACTTGAGGGGTGTTTATCAGGGACTGTTTCCAAAGGAAAGCCAGCTTTGTTTGCTTGGCAGGATGGATATCTGACAAACAGCTTCTTGCCCAAGGGAAAGTGGGGCAGGGAGCAGGGTGTACTTTGTTAAGTAGGTTTAGTTTTGCATCTCTGAATATGTCTGTCTCTCACTGTTTCTGGTACATGGCACTATGCCTCATATGATTTCTCTGTGAAAACTATTAGAAAGCATTGGGTGTATTTCCTCATACTTGCCAACAATTCTCCCAGTTGTTGTATATTCAGTTGCCTTTTACAACATTTGTAAGACCTAAAATAAGTTTTAAGCTCTTTTCCATAATTAGTTGAGTCTATCAAGGTAGGTTAATATAGTGATGAGATTTGAAGTGTGGCTGCATTGCAGTACAGTTCTTGAATCATGAACAGTGGTATATTTTGTTTCATATTTACAGAAAATTAACATGATTTATGTTAAAATTTTAAAGTGAAATACTGAAATTTCAGTGTCTGTACAAGAACATTATGAGAATTAAGTTGAATTCATAGCCTTCATATTACTGCCAAATACACTCTTTACCTGAGAGAGAATCAATTTTAACTCTTTATTTCAGAAGGGTGAGGTACCCTTTAACACCAAGTGTAGTGGAGAGCTGGATGTTCACTCACATACACCACTGTCCCCAGTACCTCGGGTAAAGCTAGGTGAAAAACCTCATTATGCCAAAGTTTGGGATTTAAGATGTTCTTCAATGAAATTAAGTTTGGGTTTTTTTAACCTGAAAATAGAATGAGGATATCTCCTAGACACCGATTGTAAAAGCATTTTTTACACATTTTTATACAATCAGCTCTCTAGAGCTGAGATATTTTTTTGTTCCTGATATGGAAACGCAGAGCAAAGAGGACAAGGACTTAAATTTGGATATCCTGTATGCAATTGCGTGCTGTGATTGTGTCTTTCCATGGTTATTTTTTGTCATTTGCCTGCCAGTGCTGAAACACTGAAATAGTCCTAGTTCCTCTGTCCATGAGAAGGAAGTCTGGCCTGAGTCTGCAGGTAAGAGTGAAGTAGAAACAACTGTACTCTCATAAAAGTTTCCATTGAGATGACTTCACAAGAAAAAAACCTTATAAAAATTTTTTATTAACTCTAGTAAGGAGCTGCTGAACCGGTGCTGTGTTTTGCTGTAGAGATGACTGTATTTCTCTGCTTCGAGAGCTACTTTTTATTCTGCATCCTATATGTATTTCTTTCAGATTGCTTAGTTAACTTTTGTGCTGTTTTTGAATAATTTTGGAGTTTATTTAAGTTTAAACTGTTTTAAAAAGCTAATTTTGTGACTGAGACAAGTGGTGGTTAAATTTGGGCTTCTTATAATATTGACAAGATGTTTCATGATTTAATTGATGAAAGTATAGA